CCCTCCGCACTCCTGAGCCCGCCTCCCGGAGGAGCATCGCCCAGTCCGGCCGCAGGAAGAGCAGCTTCCGGTTTCTTCCGCCCTTAAGCCTGCCCCTTCCTGCCTCCTATAGAGCCGTACTCGGTTGCCAAGGGACTATTCCTCTCCTCTCCCCACCGCAGTTCAGAATTGGTTCATTACAGCGGAAGGAGACTTTGGGTTTGCCTCACGTGTTGACAGTGCCTGCGTGGTGTCATGGGAACCGGGAGGGCGTGTAGAGGGGGGTGGAGTCACGACCGATCCCGCCCCGAGGGGCGGGGCAAGTGAGGAAGGTGGTTTTCTGTGAATGACAGGAAAATGTTGCTTGGCGTGGTGGCGCCATCATTGAATCCCAGCACGGGATTTAATCCCAGCAAAGGCAGAAAGATCTCTGAATTCGAGGATAGCCTGTCTACCTACATAACGAGCTCCAGGACAGCCAGGACTCATAGAGAGACCCTGTCTCAAAAATTAGATGTCCTGGTTTTGCCCAGGACAGAAGAACGTGTAAATGTAACGTGTAAGCGTCTAACCAGTATTGAGCGTTTTATTTACAACATCACCTTTAATTATCAAGTCATAGGGACAAGATGCTGGGGAAAGCAATATCCTGGGGAAAACGTATCGACTTAAATGCATTGTTTAGAAAACAAGAAAGCCTGAACATTAAGATAAAAGCAGAAATTAATAAAATTAAACAAAATTGGACTGGTTGACTTGAACCAACAGCTGTTTTTTTTTTTTGTTTTTTGTTTTTTGTTTTTAATGAGTCAGTACCTGGAACATTTTAGGAAAGACATAAGCTGTGGCATTTCAAGTAGAGGGAAATCTCAAATGTAGGAGACTTCCCCTGTCGCTGAACATTTTCCTCAATGGTACATTGTGCATCCTGGCTTCTGTTGGGTATTCTGGCACACAGAAAAGAGTTTGAAGGAAAGACAATCATTTTAGCAATTTTTGTCATCATAGTTGCAAATTACTATGTGACAGAAATATGAAATGCTTTACCCTGTATTAACTCACTCAATCCTCACACCAAATCTTTGGGTACTCCAGCCAGAATTTCTAGATACAGTGAAAAAAATATGAATTTTATTACCGTATGAAATTAAAATTTGTTATATGTACTTTATTTTTGCATAATATCTGGATATCTGCCCAGCCTGTTTAAAGTTCTTTCACGAAAAGCCAGGTACACACCTTTAATCCCAGCACTCAGAAGGCAGAGGCAGGTGAATCTCTTGTGAGTTCGAGGCCAGCGTGGTCTACATAGTGAATTCCAGGACAGTCAAGGCAGAGATACCCTGTCTTGAAAGAGAAAAACAAAACAAAAAAGAAAAAAAAATGTATGAAGTCTTTTGAGTTGGAAATGAGCCGGTCTAATGTTGAATTTTGAAAAATTATTGCTTCTGTTGAGATTTCTATATAGATGACATTTGCATGAAGAACAGCATCTTTTTCTCCCAGTGCTCTGACCTCTCTTTTTGTCCCAGTGAATCCACACGCAAGTGCCCTACCCTGTGGATGTTCACTCCTAAGCTGTCCAAGACGGAAGTTTACAGTCACTCTCTTCCCACCTTCCTTGTGTCCTGTGGATATCTGCTCCCTGTAGGCTTGTCTAGTTTAGTAGTTACCAACTTGATTCCTTGTGCAGACCAAACCCGTGAAGTCAGTCTCAGCTCCCTTTTTCTCACTGTAGGTCTTTTTGCCGAATGTATGCCCAATTTAATTGAAACTCTGAGCTATGGGTACCATCCTGGTCCAGGCTGTCAGTCACTCTTCATGAACCCCTCTGCTGGTGTCACCTGGCCCCTCAGTCATCTTGCATTCCTTTGTCTCCATCTAGGCTGCTCCTGGTGGGCTGACTGGCTAGTCCTTACTCCACTTAGGATGCCACTTTCAACTGGGTGGTGGTGGTGACACACAAATTTAATCCCAGCACTCAGGGGGCAGAGGCAGGTGGATCTCTGAGTTGGTGGCCAGTCAGGAGGAAGAGGGGAGGAGGAGGAGAGGAGGAGGAGGAGGAAGAAGAAGAAGAAGAAGAAGAAGAAGAAGAAGAAGAAGAAGAAGAAGAAGAAGAAGAAAATTACTTTCATGCTCCAATATGGCTGCCATGCTGCCATGATAACACACCACATCTTCAGCCGGGCGTTGGTGGAGCACGCCTTTAATCCCAGCACTCGGGAGGCAGAGGCAGGCGTATCTGTGAGTTCAAGGCCAGCCTGGCCTCCAGAGTGAGTGCCAGAATAGGCTTCAAGCTACACAGAGAAACCCTGTCTCGAAAAACAAAAAAAAAAAAAAAGAAAGAAAGAAAGAAAAAGAAAAAAGAAAAAAGAAAAAAAAGACACCACATCTTCAGTGGCTCAAAACCTCAGAGTTCACAACAACAGAACTTTCTTCTTTCACAGTTCTGGAGGCGGGATGTCCAAAATCACAGTTGTCAGAGCACACAGATTTCTCTGTGTAACAGCCCTGGCTGTCCTGAAACTCACTTTGAAGACCAGGCTGGCCTCACACTGACAAAGATCCGCCTGCCTCTGCCTCCCAAGTGCTACTGTTAATGGCATACGCCACTCTGGCCCGGCTTGGACATTAGTTTTTTTTTGCTGTTGTTTTTTTTTTTTTGTTGTTTTTTTTCTAGACAGGGTTTCTCTGTGTAGCTTTGGAGCCTATCCTGGCACTCACTCTGGAGACCAGACTGGCCTCAAACTCACAGAGATCTGCCTGTCTCTGCCTCCCGGGTGCTGGGATTAAAGGCGTGCACCACCAACGCCTGGCTGGACGTTAGTTTTTAATGATTGATTTTATTTATCTCATGTATATGAGTGCTCTATCTGCATTATGACTTTATGCCTAAAGAGGGCATCAGATCCCACTACAAATGGTTGTGAGTCACCAAGTGGTTGCTGGGAATTGAACTTAGGACCTCTGGAAGAGCAATCAGTGTTCTTAATGGCTGAGCCATCTCTCCAGTCCCTTAATGATTACACACACACACACACACACACACACACACACACACACACACACTTTATGGAGGCTGCATTTGATCCCCTGGAGGTGGTGTTAAAGGTAGTTGTGAGCCACCTGATGTGGGTGCTGGGAATTGAACTCAGGTCCTCTAGGAGATGCACGTGGGTTTTTTGTTTGCTGTTTTATTGTTTTGGTTTTTCAAGACAGTGTTTAGAATAAAGTCCTGAGTGAATGTGTGCTGTTGACATAGGCACAGCCATGTCGATGATCCCATAGTCTCAAACCCATGAAGGAATGGTGAAGGCTTACTCTGGTCCCACGGTGGATATTGACAGTGTGTGCAGAAAATGTCCATCATAGCTCACCCTCATCCCACCCCCGATATTTACAGCCTGGAGACCGCTCCCTCCTAGAGATCATTCCTACCAACATTAGCTAAGCCTGTGTCCTGACGCAACTGTATACCATAAACCCTTCCTCCGTATCTCCTTGCTTTGTCAGTTGTATGCAGTAACCCCACATCCCTATCCAGTTGTATGTAGTAAACATGCAGAACTTCACGTCACTATGATTTCTCCAGCAGAGAGCCCGGTCCACCCATCTCAGTTTTCTGTCTGTGTCTATCATTTCTTCATTTCCTCAACATCTTAGTCAAGTCCAAGTCCCTGAAGCCATGAATGGACAAGGCAGCTGATTAACCTACTAAAGGTTATGGGCTGGAGAGATGGCTTAGAGGTTAAGAGCACTGACTGCTCTTCAGAGGTCCTGAGTTCAATTCCCAGCAACCACATGGTGGCTCACAACCATCTGCAATGAGAGCTGGTGTCCTCTTCTGACATGTAGGCATAAATGCAGGCAGAATACTGTATACATAATAAATAAATCTTAAAAAAAACTACTAAAGGTTTATTTGTTGTTTGTTTCTTAGAATAGTCTCCCTATACCCCAGGCTGGCCTCAAACTCTCAACCTTCCTGTATCAGCCTCCTGAGTGCTAGAACTATAACTATGTATCACCATGCTATACTTTGCCCATTAAGTTTTTTTTTTTTTTTTTTTTGACAGGGTCTTTCAGGCCTGTCACGGTGGTGTACAACTCCTAGCACTCAGGAGGCAGAGGCAGGAAGATCTCTGAATTTGAGGCCAGCCTGACCTACAGAGTTCCAGGAAAGCCAGGGCTGTTACACAGAGAAACCCTGTCTCGAAAAACCAAACCAAAAAAAAAAAAAAAAAAAAAGACAGGGTTTCTCTACAAAGCCTTGGCTGTCCTGAACTCACTCTGTAGACCAGTCTGGCCTCAAACTTACATAGATCTACCTGCCTCTGCCCTCTGAGTGCTGGGGTTAAAGACGTGCACCATCACATCTGACACCCATTAAGTTTTTAATGTATTGACCCATGAAAAATTTAAACAAGGGTGTCAGTTTCAGCTGGTTTGTCACTGTAGAACAAGGATCACACTTGATCATAAAGATACAACTTAGAGGGCTGGAGGGATGGCTGAGTTGGTAGAGTGCTTCCCAGGCATGCATAAGGGCCTGAGTTTGGTCCCCAGAACTCACATTTAAAAAGAGTTGGGTTTTAGTGGGGCATACATGTAATTCCAGCATGGTGGTGAAGACAGGGGGGGTCCCTGGGGATTGCTGGCCAGCCAGTCTAGCCAAATAAGAGAGCTCTAGGTTCAGAGAGAACCTGTGCCAAAAAATAAGGTAAAGAGTACCCAAGGAAGACACTGTATGTTGACCTCCATACATGCACACACACATACATGTGTGTATGTACCTATAAACACATGACACAAACTGGATTTTAAATATACAGGTTTAATAACCAAAGCATCATTTCAAGAATCAGTGACTGTAGGCACCTCTTTCAGTGTACAAGGCTCTGGTCATCAGCTAACACCCAGGGAACAGTAGGTACCCAAGCCAACCTAGCCTAGAAATTCACCTAGAGCTTAAAAGGTCTGAGAGCCAATGAATCAGTTCACACATGTGTTCCTCTCGTGGCCCTTTATTCTTCAAGAAATAATCTTTCCAAAAGTTCTCTCTCAAAAAGCTGTCTTTAAGATTTCTCCTAAAGCCGGGTGTTTGTGGTACACGCCT